TATATATATATATATATATATTAAAATTAATAAGAAAATAAAAAATATATATTATATTAAAATAATATATATATATATATATATAAATACATTTTGTTAAATGTATTTAACATAATATATATTTTTAAATATATATTCTTTTTAAATAAATTGAAATACAATTTTTTAAATATAATTATACATTTTGTGATTTATCTTTATATATTTAATATATTTATATATTATATAAATAAATATTATGTAAAGTATCATATTAGATAATATAATAAGTTATATATCATTATTGTTATTAAAAAATATTTTTTTTTATTTTTTCAGTATTTTTTAATATATATTAACGAAATATATTTATATTTAACAAAATATTTTTTTAATAAATTATTTATTATATATTAACAAAATATAAAGATTTATTTCATTTTTTAATATATATTTAACGAAATATGTTTATATTTAACAAAATATTATTTTTTTATTTTTGTAATTTTTTATTCTTTTAATATATATAAACGAAATATATTTATATTCACTCACTACAAGAAATATGAGTTTTACCAACGGAATAATCCGTTGGTAACCAAATTTCCCAACGGAATGCCAACGGCTTACAAATAGATTTTCTTGTTGCTATATGGCTTATCACTAACTTTTGCCAACGGAAAATACTATCCGTTGGGAAAATTCCCAACAGATTACCAACAAATTTGCAACAGAAATGTTTCATGAGATTGCCAAGGGATCCTCAACAAAAAATGGAGTTGCTAAATCATTCCGTTGGCAAATTACTAACAGAAAGCCAACATATTAGTTACGAATATACCAACAGATTACCAATAGATTTTTCCCAACGGATTACCAACAGATTTTTTCCAACGGATTGCCAACGGAATATTTTTCCCAACGGAAAGCTAACAGAATTTTCCCAACGGATTGCTAACGGATATTTTTCTCAACGAATTACCAAGGGATTTTTTTCCCAACAGATTGCCAAGGGAGTTTTCCCAACGGATTACCAACGAATTTTTTTCCCAACAGATTACTAACAAACATATTTTTCCCAACAGATTGTCAATGGATATTTTTTCCCAACAGATTACCAACGGAATTTTCCCAACAGATTACCAACGATTTTTTTAGCAAAAAAAAATAAAAAATTGATCCAACTTGAAAGCTACACCACCTGACCCACCTTGAACCACATGGCTCACAATGAGCCCATGACCATCCACCAAGATAATCCTTACTAATTCTCCCAATTCTCACAACATTAGGGCTTGAACTCAAGGAATTTTTTACCAGAAAATTAAAAAAAAAAAAATTAAGTTGTGGAAAAAAAAATACACAAACAAATGAGAGTGGACCAAAATAAAAACCCCGTATTCAGTGAATACGTTTTACCATTTTTTAATTGTAAAACATATTCACTGAATACGTTTTCTTTTGTAAAAAAATTTGAAAAAACGTATTTAGGGAATACGTTTTCTATACAAATTGTATGTGAAGTGAATAAGATTCACCCGAGCTCCTTCAACTCGAACCGGCCTCCGTACCTGCAGAACCCAACGCCGGGTGGCCCCGACGTCGGGCCTCCGATGCCTAAGTCAGTGCCCAGATCAAGAGAGAGATAAAGTGTAGTAATGTAATGAATAGAGAGGATATGAGAATGAGGTACCTTGGCTCCCCTTTTATAGGGGGAGTATACCTTTGTGGGCTCAATATGAGCTTGGCCCATATTGTTGGGCTTAGACGTCTTAGTGGGCTTATCTTCCAATATGTATCCGCTTTATCCATTAAACCGGGTCTAGTATAATATCCTATATCAGTATGGAAAACGTATTCTTTAAATACGTCTTTTTTATTGTTTTTCACTCACTTTTTTTTTCTTTTTTTTTTGTCCACATTTTTTATTTTATTTTTTTTAATATATAGATTACTCTGAACTCAATACCTCTTGCATGTTAAAGAGGCAGCACCACCACTAGGCTATATCAATGTATGAGACATGATTCTACAATTCTTATTTTTATCAACTATGATAAAAATATATTATATTTTTTTGGTAGTTAATAAAAATAAGAATTGTGGAACATATATTATATTTTTTTTTTAAAATTCATAAAAATTTCTATATTATTTATGCTCCAACCATTCAATTATATTTGGTGTTTTTTTAATATGTCTAATTATAAAAATAGTGACTTTATATATAAGTATCTATAAATTTATGACATTTTTAAATGAACTAGTATGAATCTCTTGCGACGCACAGGTAAGAAATATGTATTAAAATTTATATATTAATAATATTCGTGAAATTTAAATTTTGAAAAATTACATAAAACATGTCTATTTAAATTAGTACACAACTCGTACGGTGCACTAAGTGATAATAAATTATATTATATTCATTTCCAAACAACTGTCATTTTAAATTTTTTATTTATAAGTTTGATTTGGCTACGATGTGATTCCATAAAGTAAAAATATTTTGGTAAAATTTTATCATACATTTAAATATATTTATATATATATATAATAAGTATGAATATAAAACTTATATTGTTATAGTTAATTAAAATCAATTTATTTTTGTATAACTATCCAAATCAAAAAAATTAAGTAGTTGAGTCATTTATTAAACTATAAATAATAAACTATTATATTTACGTTCAAGTTAATATTGACTCATAAGTTATGAATAATTATTTATTTGACTTTGAAATTTGAAAATCAAATTTGGACTACACAAGAAATTTTCTTTTATATATGTATACACACACACACAAGCGCATATATATATATACATACATTTTCAAAAATTTCTAGATTTGTTGTCGGTCACGTTATCGTTCAAATTTAAAATATGGAATAAATATGTTATATGATTTACCTATATTAATTTATTGAAAATATTATATGAAATTTAAACTGTGCAAAATCACATAAAACATGTATATTTAAATTAGTACGCAACTCGTACGGTGCACTAATTGATAATAAATTATGTTATATTCCTTTGAAAATAAGTTTGTCATTTTTTTCTGAAATTAAAAGAAATATTTTGGTAAAATTTTATCATATATTTAAATATCTATATAAATAATAAGTACAATTATAAAACTTATATTGTTTAGTTAATTAAAAAAAATATATTTGTATAAACTATCTAAATAAAAAATTTAAGTAGTTGTGTAATTTAATAAACTATAAATAATTAACTATTTCATTAACTCTCAACTATAAATTAGGTAGTAGTGATTGATTTTATTTTGAATTATAATAATAAATTAAGAAGAAAATGGAGTAGTGATTGATTTTATTGTTAATTATACTAATAAATTAAGAAGAAAAATATAAATTTTGATGAATTTGTTTAAATATTTTAAATTAATTACATAACTTAATATTATTAAAGTATATTAAATATTTATCATTATATATATATAGAATTTTACTTTTCTAAGTGTTATAATTATATTAATAATGTCATTATGACAATGAATTTTAAAAAATTAATGGTTGAGTATTATTATTAACAAAAATAAGTAAAATTATTACTTTGTTTATGTCAAAAATAAATATAGAAATCCGTTGCTAATACAATATTAAGAGTGTTCATTTCTATTCCATTGCTATTTGCTAACAGAAAAATTCCGTTGCTAATATAAATTTGGAAGAGTTTGTAGCTATTTGCCAACGAAAAAATTACGTTGCTATTTACCAACTGAATAATATGTTGCTAATACAATTTTGGAATAGTTTGTTGCTATTCCGTTGCTATTTGTCAACAGAAAAATTTTGTTACTATTTGCCAACGAAATAATCCGTTGCTAATACAGTTTTTGAAGAGTTTGTTGCTATTCCGTTACTTTTTGTCAACGGAAACATATCGTTGCTATTTACCAACAGAATTATCCGTTGCTAATACAATTTTTAAGGAGTTTGTTGCTATTCCGTTGCTATTTGCCAACGGAAAAAATCCATTGCTATTTACCAACGAAATTATCTGTTGCTATTACAATATTGAAGATGTTCGTTGCTATTCCGTTGCTATTTACCAACGAAAAAATTTTGTTGTTATTTGCCAACGGAATAATCCGTTGTTAATACAATATTGATGTTGTTTGTTGCTATTCCGTTGCTATTTGCCAAGGAAAAAAATCTGTTGCTATTTACCAACGGAATAATTCGTTACTAATACATTATTGATGATGTCCGTTGCTATTCCGTTGCTATTTGTCAACGAAAAATATCTGTTGCTATTTACCAATGGAGTAATCCGTTGCTAATACAATTTTGAAAGGCTTTGTTGCTATTCTATTGGTATTTTATTTGTGTTTACTAACATAATATTTCCGTCACTATTTGCCAATGGAATACAAAGAGTAATTTTCCGTTGTTATATCTTGTTAGTATTCTGTTGGTAATCTGTTTAGAAAAATTGTACATGTAATGCATTGCTAATCCGTTAGCGATTCGTTGGCAATCCCAACGGAAAAAATTTTGTTGGTAACTTTTGTTGGCATTTTGACAATTTCTTGTAGTGACTATATTATTTTTATTTTTTAACAATTTTTATTTTTTATATTTAACAAAATATTAAAGATATATTTTTTTAATAATTTTATAATACATATTAACGAAAAATAATGATTTTTATTTTTATTTTTTATATATATTATTTTTTATTTTTTAGATTTTTTTTTTTTTTTTTTTTT